GCGGCCGCCGCCGCCTCCGGCGAGGGCTGGGTAGATGGTGGGGTAGGGCGGCGGCGGGTTGGGGCGGCGGCGGGATGGGGCGGCGGCGGCGTGGTAGGGGCCCGCGGCCCGCAAGTACGGCAGCGCGCAAGTACGGCGGCCGCCGACGCTGCAGTCGAGGCTGCGCTTTGGCTCTAGCGTGGCGTGTGGAGGTGCGGGCGCGGGCGCCTGCAGGAGCCGCTGCAGCCGGTCGAGAGACGAGACGGACACGTGTCCCGCCTGACAGCAACGCGAGAGTTCCGGGAAGGTTCCGGGAAGGTTCTCCTCCCGGGAGCGTGGGCGGCGAGGTGGCGCGACGCGGAGGCGCGCGGTCGCCTTGGAGTCGAACGAGCGGTCAAAGGGCTCCGACGTGTTGAAGATGTCAGGGAAGAGGAAGTTGAGCAGCGCCTGTGCGGCGCGGGCTCCAGGAAAGGCTCGGGGTTGGCGCGGGGAGGGGCTCGGGGAGCAGAGCCGAGCCGCACCCACAGCTCGTGTAATCTCGGGTAATCTCAGGTAATCTCGGGTAATCTCCGCACCCACAGCTCGTGCAGGTTGTTTTGGATGGGCGTGCCTGCGGGCGACGCTCGCTGGGCCGGTGAGCCGGTGAGCTGGCGCAGCCTCCAAGCTCAGGGCGGGAGGGGGGGGGAGAGGGAGAGGTGAGGGGAGACGAGACGAGACGAGAGAACCGACAGAGCCGTGTGGATAGAGGAGAGGGTGGGAGAGGGGCGAGGGCGAGGGGAGGGCAGGGACGAGGGAAGGTGTGCCGGTGAGCAGCAGCCGGCTGCATCCCTCCCCATCTCTCCCCATCTCTCCCCATCTCTCGGCGTGCCGGTGAGCAGCAGCCGGTTCGTGACTTTGATCGAGCGGAGGATGACCGACAGCTTCGACTCCTGCCAAGGCCGCGAACGGGAGGCTTCGAATGGGCGGGTGGGCGGGCGCGGCGACGTCCGCCTCTCGGCCGTCTCCCGGCGGTCTCTCCGCCGCGCCTCGTTCTTGAGCCGGTGCGCCTCGTCAACCACGAGGAAGCGCCTGTACGGGCGTGGATGCGTCGGGGACGCGGCCTGGACAGAGTCCCGCCTTCCTCGCCGACCGGAGCGGCTCGCCAGCGCAGCTTGCGCAGCGCGGTGGCCTCGGACGCGACGCACTCGTACGTGGTGACGAGCACGTGGAAGTTGCCCGCCGCGACCTGCGGGCGCGCGCCGCGGAAGCTCTCAGCCACGCAGGGCTCCTCGCGCCGCTCTCAGGGCTCCTCGCGCCGCTCTTCCCGGTTTCCCAGACGCCCTCCGCGTCTTCTTGCCGCGTCCGCCCTCCGCGTCTTCTTGCCGCGTCTCTCTCTTCCCCATGCCCGCCCCCGCCCCCCCGGGGGGAGAGGCGTCGCGTCTCGTGCGCGCGCGGTGGCGAGGGACGTGAGCAGCCGCGGCGCGCGCCTGTGTCTCGATGATGGAGCGCCGCTCGTCCTTGTTGCCGTGCAGTCGGACGGCGCGCAGGCCAGGGCACCACCGCTCGATCTCCTTGCACCAGTTGCCGAGCACGGTGAGTGGCACAACCACGAGGTGAGGGGCCGGCTCGCGCTCGACGATCGACAGGTACCCGAGCAGCGAGATGGACTGCAGCGTCTTGCCGAGCCCCATCTCGTCCGCCAGGATGCCGTTCAGCCCGCGCGCATGCAGCGAGATCATCCAGTTGAGGCCCTCGAGCTGGTAGTCGCGCATCACCCCGCCCTTGACGCAGGGCGGCTGCACGGTCAGCCGGATCACGCCTCCGGGATCGGTCGCGGCTTCCTCGTCGTCGTCGTCGTCCGAGGAGTCGCCTCCCCTTCGACGCGAGGAGGCGACTCCGGGAGGCTTCGCCTTCGGCTTCGGCTTCCGACTGAGCCTAGCATCGAGCAGCTCCTCGAAGCGCGCGATCGGGTCCTCGTCTTCTTCAGCCATTGGGCGGTGAAATGCCAGGAAGGGCGGGGATCGAGCGGCGCCAACCCCTGGGTTCTTGCCAGTCACCAACCTGGCGCGCGCCGGGCTGCTTCACAGCAGAGCTGAGGATCTGCTCAAGAATACAACAAGGCAGAACTCTCTCTCACCGACACAGGTTCGAGAATACCTCCCCCGGTATTTACCGCGAATACAAAGAAAATGGAGCGCCAGGCAAGAGCCTCAGCGCGCACTGTCCCTCTGTGTTCGTGCGTCGCCCATCTCTCCTGGAGATGTCTGCTCTATTTATTTATTTATTCAGCGGCAGAGCGCAAAAAGTAATCGGGTGGTCGAGCCGCGCAGCCAAATCCCTGTGTGGTGGCGGGGTGCCGTCCTCCCATCCCTCTTTTGGTTTCTACGTTTTCTCTCTTTCTTTCTGAGCCGAAAAGAATTTTGCGGCGCCCAAGCTAGCTTGTCCATGATGATCACTGTCTGCGTACGTAGCAGCCATCACGGACGGCATTGTTTGTCCAGCAGCCAGGACCTGCATCTCCAGATTCGAACCTCTAGCAAAAAGAAAATTCTGGCCCGGCCTACCTCACACCAACGAGCAACCTTGCTCGCAGAGATGCTCTTGGCGGGCTTCCGGCTCTCCCAGCGGGCAGGCGCCAGCCTCTTCACCATTGAGGCGCCATCCCTGCGGAGCTGCGCAGATGCTTGTAACAATGCGACTGGATGTGGCCTCATCAGCTTCGCTGGCAATGGCACTTCTCTGGGATTGTGCATTGGCGGGCGCATCGGCTCGGCTCCTCGACAGCAAGACGACTTCAACATTTACCAAGTTGTGCCCTCGCCACGACCTTTGCGAAGAGAAGCGTCGCCGCCTCCGCATATCGATGGACAGGAGACTGAGCCAGCCCGGGCACGCAGGGATTTGGGCCACGCCCAAACACCGGAGAGGCATGTGGACTCAACGCATGTGGACTCGGACGGTGATGCAAGCCAAGAATATGTGTACGAGACTGGGCTCCTCAAATATTCCTATGGGTCTCAAAATCCCGAGCTGCCGTTTTCAGTTCCGCCCACGCCAACGCCACTGCCACCGCCGTCGCCACCTACGCCACCACCGGGCCTGCCACTATCAACGCCGCCAACACCAAAGCCGATGCCACCACCCTCGCCACCGACGTCACCGCCCGCTTTGCCATTTTCAATTCCACCACTGCCAAAGCCGTA